AAGGGGAGATATGACCTCTATTTATCTACAACCTTTAAAAGTGAGAAGTTGAGAAAGATTAGGAGTTTTGGCAAAAATTAGTGAAAGGAATAGTGCATTGACCATATTTTTCTCATGGTTTGTTGGTAATTGCAAAAATGCCATCAAATCCTTGAGTTTTGTTGACTTTCATCACTTTTTGATGACTTTTTTGACCTTTTTGTCAAAAATAAGTTGTGAAATGTCCAAAATTAACTCCTTCTTTGTTGGTTATTTCAAATTTGCCATCAAGTTTTGTTGATTTTTTTTTACTTTTTAAAACTTTATTGATTTCATTAGTATAATTGTGGTTTATGTGTTTAAATTAATATTAAGTGATGAGGTGTACATAGCTTTGTTTGTTTAATTACTTTAATTTAATAACATAAAGTATTTAGCTTTTAGCTTGTTTTAAGGCATGTGTTTTTTTAGTGGGTTAGGTTTTTGTTTGTTTGTTTATATATATATATATATGTATATATATATATATATGTATATATATATATACATATATATATATATATACATATATATATATATATACATATATATATATATATACATATATATATATATATATATGTATATATATATATGTATATATATATGTATATATATATGTATATATATATATAACTTCATTATGAGATAACTTAAACACAATTACTGGAGCTTTTTCGATTGCAAAATTTCAAGAAATAGAAGTTATTTCAATTATCAAGTTATTTAACAAAAAAACAGGTAACTCTGCATGCATCCTTTAATTTAGAAGTTGATTAGTGCATGATTCTTGCATTTTGTATGGTAATTAATCGGTGAAATTTAGTGTAATTAATAATTCTATATGATTTTAGTGTGTAAGTTCACTTGTACGTATTATATTTTTGTTTTATTTTGATTTTGATGATAGTGTTTAATTGATTTTTTGCATGTGAGGAAATTTATGAGTTTAAAATTTAAGAATTATGTTATGTGTTCGATTTGGATGTGTGATTTTACTTGCATATATTGTTTGTCTATTTGATTTTGATGTTTTAATATGGTTTTATTTAATATGAGATGCTAATTAATTTACTGATTTATTGCATGCATTTTAGATTGATGACATATATTTGTATGTTATTATTTGTTTGCATTTATTTTGTGTGATTTGGTTAGAATCTATTTGTGACACTAAGTTTATTCTTAATTTGTGCATGCATTTAGATTGGTTGATCAATTATTAAGATAGAGGAACCGAAGAACAATATGTAGGTAATTTTGCAAGCATCCATTAATTTATAGGTTGATTAGCGCATGATTCTTGCATTTTGTATGGTAATGAATCGGTGAAATTTAGTGTGATTTATAATTCTATATGATTTTAGTGTGTAAGTTCACTTGCACGTATTATTTTCTTGTTTGATTTTGATTCTGATGATAGTGTTTAATTGATTTTTTGCATGCAAGGAAATTTTTGAGCTTAAAATTTAAGAATTATGTTATGTGTTCGATTTTGATGTGTGAGTTTAGTTGCATATATTGTTTGTCTATTTGATTTTAATGTTTTAATATGGTTTTATTTAATTTGAGATGCTAAATAATTTTCTGATTTATTGCATGCATTTTAGATGATGACATATATGTGTATGTTATTATTTGTTTGAATTTATTTTGTGTGATTTGGTTAGAATCTATTTGTGAAACTAAGTTTATTCTTAATTTGTGCATGCATTTAGATTAGTTGATCAATTATTATGATAGAGGAACAAAAGAACAATATGCTCTTAATTTTAAATAATGTATAGTACTGTTGCATGCATTTTTTGTTGTTTTTGTTTTTGAATGACTTGAGCCTATCTCTATTCCGAATATAATTTCTGAGGTTTAAAAGTTTGCATGCATGTATGTGGTTGAAAGTTTTAGTTTAATTTCTTTTTGAGATTGTAGTGTGATAGTGTTTTGAGTATAAGTTCTGTGTTCAGAGAGAAATATTAGTGAGAGTGACACCAGTTTTTTATTTTTTTTTATTGTACTAGTTTATATTGACAAAGGCTTGAAATGGTTTACAAGTCTATAATTGTTGCATGCAGTTTGTGTGAAGATCGTGGGATATTATTGGGATTAACACTGTGTATTAGAAAGTTAAGGTTAACATTGTTTATTGGTCTATTGGTAGTAGGTTTATATGGTTTGAGTGTCAAGTGTTTGATTTTTGGTGTCTGTAGTTGTATTTGCTTTGGGCGGAATTTAGTCTAAAGTGGTTGATTATACGTGAATTACAGGTTATGGATGCTCCGCTCACACAAGTAGTGATATCATTTCGTCCTTTGTTGAAGCAAATTACCGAATGCTTGGATTTCCCTGATCCAGAATACCAATATCTCAATCTCCGAAAAAGCATTGCTTGTGTGGCTTTTAGGAGCGAGAGTTTGGTGGAGATACGAACAATGTAGATGAATCTTGTGAAATTGCGGCTAAAAAGGCTGTGTATGATCTTATAAAAAGATATGACATAGTTGTTGAAGATGTAACTGCTTTACATAAGCCAATGTATGAACGTCGTGGTCGATTGTATGGATACAAGAAAGAGGAGTTGGAGGAAATTGAGAAAGGAAAATCAAAGGTTTATTTTCATGGAGATATTTCTACTGGAATTGGACACAATCAGAGGAAAGTTGCTATTGATTTCCTTGAGGTGTTGAGGTCTATTTTGAGTTGTGTTGATGTAAAGTGCACTCCAATTAAAATTATTGAATAATTTTCGAATCAATATGTTTCTTGTTTTACCATCATTCACCATAGGAACAGTTCAGGATTTAGGTGTTTGTTTAGTGATTATTGTTTGAGTTAAGCTGCAGCTAAGCAAGATCTAGCTAGGAAATCTGTTGATTATCTCACTGATGTGTGTAATCTTGAAATAGTCGATGCTAATTATAAGGCAACGACGTGTAGGTTTGATGCTTTGCTATGTGCTTTGGAGAGGGAAAGTTATTTAAGTGTGAAGGAACGTGTGTTGGGAGTTAAAGAACAATTGGAACGTTCTTCAGGTCTTGCAGAACAAGACTGTATAGTTCCTGTTGGTGGGGAATTTCAGGTTCCAATATCTAATCCACTTGTTATAGCTTTCAGTAAGATTGAACTAAAATCTGAAGTTCAAGAATCATTTGCTATTTCTGATTCCATCATTGAAGAAATCCCAAAGGGGGAAGACTAAGAATATTTACATGGACGTTTTAAGCATGTATGGCTTTTAAAGGATTAGATGACTTGAGTTTAAGTTGGTATTAAAGAAGTTTTAACTGCTTGTTGTGTGGTCTTTTGTTGCTTGTTGCTTGAACTGGGTTAGTTTTTTTGTTGGATCATATATTTGAAGTTTCTTGGCTTATGTATGTTGCACAAGATAGTTTTTTGTGATGCTTGTGCATTGAACTCTTTTAAGTAAATACATAGATTAAAGTTCGAAGTAGATATTTTTGTTATGTAATGGTTGTAATGGATTATATGTAATTAATGATAATGAACACTTTTTGGTTGTTTCTATACTTTTGTTTTTTGAACTTTCTTGCAGTTTGTTATTTAATTTTTTGGATTTTTAAAGCTTATGGTATGTCTTGTTATGAAAATTCAGATTACTTAGAACACAAGTTACGTGTAGAAAAAAAAAGGTTGCTTGATACAACGACACATGCAAGGGAGATGTATTGTAGAATTTGCAAAGAACAATAGAAAATGGGTGAGTTTTTTCATGTATCTAATAATGAAGATCTAGGGAAGGTTTTTATACAGTGAAGTGATTTTAGGACAATAGTTTGTAAAATGAATGTTAATCACTGATTATGTAGATCGATTATTACGAGCACCAACGACATCATATAAATACAGGACTAAACGTCAAAGAGGGTTGGAAAGTGAAAGTAATGAAATAAAGGCAGTCAATGGGTCTAAAAAGAAAACAAGTAAAGGAATTCAAGTGCTGAGTAATTTCAAACCTCTCATTTGTAGTAAACATATTTTATATTGAATTAAATTGAGATGGAGATAATTGCTTATGAATTTTTTATTTATGTTTAATAAGCACCTTCATCAATAAGGACAAACACTAATAGCCACCTTGTAGATTTGGAGAGAAGATGTACTGAAAAAATGCAAAGGTACTCAAAGGTTGAATACTTCGGTATTAGAGAAAAATTTATTATACTTTTTTGTGTTACTGTTATTAATTTTTGTTTTAAAATTTAAACTGAATTTGTGTTTTTGTAATTTTGTAATGTTACAGGAGCAGCTTAATGAAAATTTAGGAAAAGAAAAAGGCAGCGCAATTAAAGTTTCAAGTAATTTTAGTTTCTTCTTAGAGAATTCCTACATGTGTTTAAGAATAATAAAAAGTATTAATGTCAACAAATCAGAATTAAAAATTTCATTGATCACATTTTTCACAGGGGTTCTTGATGCAGTAACTGCTGAAAGAGTTATTATTCAGGTTTTTGCGCTACCTGCAATTCAAGTGACAAGTAATTTCAGTGACTTATTTTTGGTGTTGCATCTTTTATATACAGCTGATTTGAAGATTCTATTTTTTGATTTTGATATTTACAATTATAAGCAGCTTCGACAGCAAAAGGTTACAAAAATAAACGTCGTACAAACGTGGAGGGTGAATGTAGTGATCAAATTCAAAGGTTATTTGAGACTTAATGGTATATTGTTGATATTTGATTTTAATAGGAAAAAATTACTGAATTTGTGTTTGAATCCTATTTAAAAGGATAAAGGATCATCCCATTGGAAATTTTCAGGAAAAGGAAATCAGCAAAGTCCTAGAGACAAGTAATTTTAGAGTTTTCTTTTTTGGTATTACATTTTTTCAATAAATATTTGTATTACAAATACTTTGTAATGATCATTGTTCATATTTTCACAGAGGGATGTGATGCTCTAATTGGAAAAAATTTCCCACTAAGTCTTATCTGCTTCCTGCACCTAACTACTGTCATAAGTGTATGGCCAAGAAATTTTCTTTTGAATCACTTCACTTCTGCTGTGATGATGGAGAAATCAGGATTGCTGCTAATGATTACCCTCCACAGCTTGTGTGGTTATTAACTTCTAAAGATGAAGAAGAAAAACATTTCAAGAAGTATGTGCAATTGTATAATAATTTGTTCGCTTTCACTTCGTTGGGTGGTGATCATAAAGCTGAAACAAAGAATGGAATCTATGTTTTTAAGTTACATAGACAGATTTATCATGATACTCCCAGTTTAGTTCCTGGAGAAAAAGGGCCACAGTATATGCAATTGTACTTTTATGATGGACAACAAGAATTAGCTAATCGTTTAAAGTGTTTTTCTACGTTAAGAGAAAATATTTTGGCTATGTCAATGGAGATTACAAATCTAAATCCGTATGCCAGATTTTTTTCGAAGTTTGAGGGGAGTTTCGATTAGTGATTCAACATAGATTTTACTGAATAAGAATACAGTTCCAGATCAGCGTGTTTATAATGCTCCAACTACAGATGAGGTTGCTGTTATTTGGCTTGAGAATACTTCTTCCAGTGAGCCTGAAAGTCCACACATATTGGTTACTTGTGTAGATGATTCTTCTCATATGATCCAACACTATTATGGTTTCTATGATCCTTTACAGTATCCTTTGCTATTTCCATATGTTGATTGTGGGTGGACTCAAGGACTAAAGAAGATGTCTATGGGTGGAATACAACAGTTACAGTCTCAGACAAATCCAGTTTCTTCATGTAGTATACATACTACTGAAGAGTTGTTAGATGAAGAAGCTAGGCGTATGAGTTCATATCTTTTATTTCTAATTAATAAAGTATATTTGATTTTATATATGTCATATACATGCTTTTATTGCTAATTTTATCCTTCTTTTTCCAAATATTGATTTGTAGGTGCAAATGGAGGTTCATCTAAGGCAGATAAACATATTTCAGCTCGAGAATATTATGCATATAGGCTTCAGTGTCGTCCGGGAAATTACTTGCTAAGAGTTGGAAGATGTTTTTAACAATATATCGTTGACATGTATGTCAAGGTAGAGAATACACGCTTGATTTCTTTTGAAGGAACCAACAGACAATAAGGGCTGATCTTTATCAGGGACTTCTTGATACTATAGATTGTGGAGAAGAATGTGCAGCAAATGTTGAAAGACGAGTTATATTGCCTGCAACGTTTATAGGTGGCCCTCGAGATTTGAAGAAGAGATATCTGAATGCGATGTCATTAGTTCAAAGGTTTGGAAAGCCTGATTTATTTATAACAATGACATGCAATCCTAATTGGCCAGAAATAAAACAAGAACTTGCTGCTAGAGAAGAAGCACAAAATAAGCCAGATATCGTTTCAAGAGTTTTTAGGGCAAAGGTACTTGCTTTAAAACATTAAATTAGGAAGAAGAAAATATTTGGAGAAGTGGCTACAATGATTTATTTTATTGAATTCCAAAAAAGAGGTTTACCTCATGCTCATTTTCTCATTATTTTGAAATCAGAATTCAAAATAAAGACTTTTGATGACTTTGATAAGTTTGTTTGTGCTAAAAAACCATCTTATGAAAATGGATATTTAAGAGAGATTGTGATCAAGCATATGATGCATGGTCCATGTGGTTATCTTAATCCAGAATGCCCTTGTATGAAACATAAAGAACAACGTGGACATTGTAAGTATGGTTATCCAAAGAAAAATTGTGAAGAGACAAAAAGTAACAGTGATGGATATCCTTTGTATCGAAGGAGAGCTACGTGTGATACTGTCAAAGTTCGGAGTGTTGAAATGGATAATTCATGGGTGATTCCGTATAATCCATATCTTTTAGCTTATTTCAATTGTCACTTAAATGTTGAAGTTTGTTCAACTATTGAAGCAGTGAAGTATCTGTATAAGTATGTTTATAAAGGCCATGACAAGATATCTTTTAATATTGTCCAAACAAAAGACGGAGTTCCCATGCAAGATGAAATTGAACAGTATCAGTCAGGACGATGGGTTTCACCCTGTGAGGCTGCGTGGTGTCTTTTTGGTTTTTATTTATATGAAATGTATCCTTTAGTTTTACCTCTTCCTGTTCACTTGCCTAATTCTCAGCTGATACAGATGAGACCTCACGAACAACTGACATCTATTGTTTCAGATGCTAAGCGTACTAGAACCTGTTTAACAGAGTTTTTCGAAATGAATTGTAAATCAGCTTTGGGAACAGGAATGGCTATATAGTGAATTTTCAGAGCACTATTGGTGGAATGCATCAGATAAACTGTGGAAGAAAAGAAAGAATAAAAAAATCCGGATTGGAAGGTTAGCATTTGTTGGACCTTCTGAAGGTGAAAGATACTATTTGCGGTTGTTGCTTCACAATGTCAGAAGTTCGAAGTCGTTTGAAGATTTACGTACAGTCAATGGACACATTTATACCACTTTTCAGCAGGCAGCACTAAAGTTAGGATTAATGGAAGAAGATGATGCAATTGAATTGTGCTTGACTGAAGGATGTGCCATCCAAATGCCTCATGTTATTCGAAGATTGTTTGCCACAGTACTTATCTTCTGTCAGCCTAGCGATCCTCTATCTTTGTGGACAAAATATTATGATTCTTTTTCAGAGGATTGCCGATATAAATATCCTACAGATGTTGCAAGAGTGAAACATTTAACCGTAAGATCGATTGAGCAATTAGTTGAGTCAATGGGAAGTTCGTTGAAGGCTTTTGGTTTACATAATTTAGTAGAAGATGATGGTGATGCTATACATGTTACGAAAGATATAGAAGATGCATTGAATGCTCTGATACCAGAAGAGTGTTTAGAATGTAAAGAAAAGTTAAATCAGGCTCAACGAGTTGCATTCGATGTTATAATGGATCATGTTGCAAAGGGAAATCCTGGTGCCTTTTTCATAGATGGTCCTGGTGGAACGGGGAAAACTTTTTTATATAATGCTCTTTATGCAGAAATTAGATCAATGAATAAGATTGTTTTACCCACAGGAACTTTGGGTATTGCTGCAACCAATATTCCTTATGGTAGAACTGCGCAATCACAGTTTAAAATCCCTTTAGACCCTTCGGGCTCACTTGCTTGTAATGTTCCTAAGCAGGGAAGTTTAGCTGCGCTTTTAAGGGAAACAACGTTGATTATTTGGGATGAAGCTTCTATGGCTAAGAAGGAAAATATTGAATCCCTCGATTCACTACTTAGAGATATTTGCAATTCAAGTGTATTATTTGGAGGCAAATTAGTAGTTTTTGGTGGGGATTTTAGACAAGTTCATCCAATTGTTCCACGTAAATCATAGAGAGAAGTAGTTGCTGCAAGTTTAGTTAGTTCTGCTCTGTGGCCACAACTGCTGAAGTTCAGGCTTACTTGTAGGGAATATTTCAAGCGTTAACCCCTATCTTGAACCCCACTTTGATCACACACTAAAGTATAGTGGCGTCCAAATGGAAAGAAGATAGAGAAAAAGAGTCGCCAACAAGTTTTTTTAGGAACTTGTAAACCGTTCACAGGGTGAAGGTTACACCCCTTAACGATCCAAGAGATCGTCAACTCCATAAGGTCTTGAACCAAATAGGGTTCGGGGATAAAGGTACAAATCCAACCTAAAAGAGATTGAACCTACCCTAATAATAGGCCTATACTTTATTCATATCGTATTCATGTGCGCTTTCTGACTAACATGCAATCAATAGGTTTATCCCTAAACCTGTTTATCTATGTTGGTTGAATTTAATGCACAAATAAAACTATTATTGACAATCACTTGAATTATAATCAAATTAACCCTAAAAAGATTATTAATTATCTTATTAAGCGTGATTACAAGTACCAAATTCCCTTTAAACATACATAAAAGGTGTGATCAAGCAATAACAATAAACATAATCAAGCAACATAATAAAAATAATCATGATAATAATAATTATAAAAATAATCATGTTAAAGTATAATAATAGCAAGATCCTAGGCATGATACTAACAAGATTAATAACAAACCCTAGCATGTCACTTGATTAGGGGATTTTTATCCACCAATCACCGTTTGACAAGTGGACCAACCAGGTTCCGCCACGTGTCCTTCACGTAGGCCAATAGGAGCCTGCCACGTGTCAATCACAGATACGTCCTCTACGGACCAATTGAGACACGCCACGTGTCCACTCATGCCAAATGGGAAAACCGGCCAACAAGGCCCAATCCCGTCTAGAGGCCCGGTCAGCCCTAGGTTTACCCTAAACCTAGAGAGTGGCACGCTTCTCAAGACTATAAATACTTAATTAATCCTCATTAAAGGGGATCAAGCAATTAATCTCACCTGAAGAACGGAACAGAACAGAAACGTTACGGAAGACACTAATAACCGGCTAATCTCGCTAACAAAGCAGATTACCAACATTAAACACTCTCACCTAGAGAGATCTTATTACTTTAATTTCCGTATTAATTACTCCTTAATCAGGTACTAACTTGACCGTCGGAGGCGGAGCTCTCAGGAGTCTCCGTTATTTTGCAGGTACAGGCGTCCGGTTCCAGTCTCGGAATTGTAACTCTCCCGCAGGACATCAGAAAACCCCGAAACATTTGGCGCCGTCTGTGGGGAGAGTACTTCAGAGATGGCATCCAAGTCTGTACCGACTCCTGAAGAGAGGCGTCCCCTAAACGACCCTCAAGTTCAGTCGGACCATGACACCGAAAGTGAATTTGAAGTTGAAACTCATACAGCTCCAGACGGGACCCTAAGGGCCCGACGTACCCGTCATACCGAAAGGAGGGAACGGGAGCATCTTCAAACAGGAAGCGAGCCAGCAGGCGCACCGCCTGCTCGGCAACAGCCGACTGATGGGTCTGCTCCCATCACAAGGAACGAACTCATGACCTTCATGAGGGACTTCAAGGGAGAGATTCAAGAGTTGATCAACAAGAAGCCGCCTGCTTCAGTCAAGGAGCAGTCGGCCAAGAAACCTTCCACTTCACTAAAGAGGAAGCCAGTTCAAGGGCGAGAGGCGACTCCTCATCCTAAATCTAGGAAGCAGGAGCCACCTGCCCTTGATTTCACAAAATTCCGTTATCCTACAGGAAATAGGAAACCAGTTCGTCATATTCAGGCGGACGGGTCAAAGCAAACGTTCACAGATGCTCGGCTACTGCTAGAGCAGAAGAAGAGTGACCGATTGTCAGAGTCGGCTTCTACTTCAGACTTTCAAGACAGTTTGCGAAATGCCTCGATGAGGCATACTCAGTCGTACCATGAGAGTCAGTCAGGCGGCACCTCCCGTCAGTCCGGCTTTCATAGTGCCCAGGCGGTACCAAACTTACCATTTGTGCCGCAACAACAGTATTTTATGCAGCCACCTCCATTTGGTGGACCTGCAGCAAAAAACGTCCAACCTATGGACTGGCAGCTACGGTTGCTTAGACTTGGTGAACAGCCGTCGGCCTTCTCCAAGGAAATTACTGAAGCCGCTCAGCCGGCCAAAGTAAAAAATGTACTAGTAGGCGCCTATGACGGCACTACTAACCCAGAAGACCATCTGATGGCATTCACCAACCTGATGTACCTTCAAGGGTTGGATGATCCCACTTGGTGCAAGTGTTTCCCAGCGACTCTCAAGGGAATCGCACAGCAATGGTTCGGCAACCTGCCGACTGGTTGTGTAAACAGCTTCAGGACGCTTGCTTACTTATTTACCTCCAACTTCGCCATGAACATCCCTGCGAAGAAAACGACCCTTGATTTGGGAACAATTCAGCAGGGCGAGAAGGAGGGGCTTCGTTCTTACATCAGGCGGTTCAACCTGATGAGAATACAGATTCAAGGGTTACCGGATGAGGTAGCTTATACTGACTTTTTTAGAGGTCTCAAAGACGGGTCTACCTTCAAATTTGATTTGGTTCGAAAAAGGGTGGCGACTCTTCAAGAGGCCTTGATTGAAGCAGAAGCCTATATACAGGCGACTGATCTGTGTACGATAAAACAGTCGGACGGGAAAAGGTTCGACAAAAGAGAAGGACAACAGAAACAGTCGTCTAACAAAGATGAGAAAAGAAAAGAGGTCTGGGCGGCTGATTCCTCTAAACAGCCGGCCCAGAAAAAGAAAAAACAATTCAAACCATACTCCCCAAAGTATGTGTTTAACAAGGATAACCAGTTTATCCTAAAAGAAATAAAGGGACGGATCTCAATTGAGAAGCCGGTCCCCATGAAGGGTTCTGCAAACAACCGGAACCAAGATAAAATCTGTGCTTATCATGATGACGTTGGTCATCACACCAATGATTGCATCAGTCTCATGCGGTACCTAGACCGCCTGGCTGAGCAAGGTGATCTTGACACTTATGTCAAGAAATCTACGGGGAACACTTCCTCAAAAAAGCAGTCGGCCAAAAAGAATCAACAGGCCGACAGCTCCGATACAGATGATGCAGTCGTCTACACCATTGCCGGCGGCTTCTCAGGAGGCGGCCCCACTATTAGGGGCAACAAAGATAATATAAGGCGGTTAGATGTAAATTCCGTTCACCAAGAACGGCCGTCCAAATATACATTTCCTGAGATTGTCATCACTGAAGAGGATCTAGGAGGGGTAAGGGGGCCGCATGACGACCCTCTCGTTATTGAATGTAAAGTGGCCAACCAGAGAGTTGGCCGAATCCTCATAGATACCGGGAGCTCCTCAGATCTCATCAGCAGCAAATGTCTGTCGAAACTGAAATATCAGACGGACTGCATACATCCGGCCTCCCACCCTTTAATAGGGTTTGGAGGAGGAATCGTCCAACCACTGGGACGAGTAGATTTGCCCATTCGCCTTGGCGAAAAAGGGGAAGGACGACACATGGTAGTCCGGTTCCTAGTAGTAGAGGAACTCTCGGCCTACAACATGATTCTGGGTCGACCAACCCTGAATAATTCCAAGGCTGTTATAATCCCGTCTCTTATGTTGCTCAAGTTTGAGAGGGATAATGGAACAGTCGGCTCCCTAAGGGGAGATCAGAAGATGGCCCGAGAGTGCTATCTCTCGGATGTCAAGCCCACTGTTATGGCCACTGGGTCAAGTGGTGAAAAAACAGACCTTGACAATGTCAAAGAGAGTGCGCCTGTTCAAGAAGCAGGCGACAAAAAGAGAAAGGCGTCCCAGACAGAGTCCGCAAGAAAAGCGAGAAAATAGCAATCATTGGCAGAGGAGCGGCCGGATGAGTTCCGCCCTCAGCCGGCTGGT